AAATTAAAAAAAGAAGTGCACACACATACACACTGCCTATCTGCCCTCACTGCAGCGTTAGACCACCAGCATCAGAGATGACCATAGCGATTGTAGCTGTGCATGAGGAGGCTGGCACCACTCCATCACTACACTCATTGTTGTTGCTTTAAGGACTCATAACGATTGTATCACAGCCGTTACACCTCAGTTATGAACCCTTTTTGTTTAATTTAATAACAAACCAAATTTACTTTATCAGCCAAAAACAGCTATTAGATAGATTGTGATGTATTGATCAGCAGTTTGGAATATTTTGACGGTTAGCGCACTGACTATCAGAGACAAAGACGTATAGATATATGAAAAGGTGTGATTTATGGGGCAGGGGGGTGTTTTTGATCCTTTTTGGGAGGGGATGAATTCCAACTAAGTTCAGGAGCTGCTGAATTTCCAGAATAAATCCCTCTGAATCTCTATTTAAATTTCAATTTGCATCTCAGTCTCATGTTTTTGTCTTGTGGACACAGCAGGATGCAATCAAACATAATAGAAAAGTTTATCCTAGTTTTATATGTCATTTGGCCACACTTAAATATTTCATATCCAGTTAAATTGGAGTGGGACTCCCACAAGATCTTCTGTCACAGTGGTGCTGTCTATTTCTGACTGTTTTGAAGTTGCATTCAGAAAATTACCTAGCAGAGTAGGTAGTAGAGTAATTCTGCCCCAATTGGGACTAAAAATAATTCAGCAGAGATGAGAATATGTAGACCAGAGGAGAAAAATCCCCCTCATCAAATCAAAGTTTGAGAGAACTTTTGCTGGTGCTGTTTCAGTCGAACCATAAAGGGCCACTTCACCTCGAAACACCTGTTTTACAAACTGCCACAGATGGTGTCTAAATGACATCAACACCTAAGATTTCTCCTTGCCAAAATATCGAATGTGGAGCAGCAGCTTTGCTTAAATTTCATTTTTGCAAACTTGCTAAATTATGTTTATAAATATTTTATGAACCTTACTCGATGTGTGGCATTTGGCAGCCCTGCTCCCAGCTTGGATAGTAGAAATCTAAATGTGTATGTTGTGAACATTTTCTACAGGTTTGCAAAAGCTTTTTGCCTTTGATTTGACTCCATGCAGAGATTCTGTTATGAATGTTTCTCACATCCACGATTGTTTGATTCTTTTTGTATTCATTGAATGTGACACTGTGTCCACTGTTGTATCAGCCAAAGCAATAATTTACACTCATTTCACTGCACATTTCTTTAAAATGTGTTTATTTGCACCATGCGTGCCTGAGTGTTTTGTTTAACTTTCTGACTCAGAGCTGGAATACTAATCAGTTTACACAAGCCACATACAGAGCTGAATACAGGTGAAATGTCACCACATTAACTTTGAAACATTAGTATAATTACCATAGACAAAGGTTTCCTCGACTGTGGCAGCAATTGCGCTGCGTTTAACAATGCTGGAATTTGGCAAGACATTTAAATGCAGAGTTGCTCCATAGGGAGTTTATTAAGTGACTGCTGCTAAAACAGAGGAGAGCTGACAGTGAAAGTTTAAAATGCAACATGATGGAGGTGTTGACCTGCCAGTCAATACACCGCCTGCAGAGCTCTCACTGTCACACTGACCAAAATGTTTTTCTTTCCTTTGTGCTACCATCAGCAATCTGACTGATGGAGGCATCAGCCTCCTAGTGAGAGCAATAGGACGCTGATGGTGCAGATTTTTCATATTTTTGTTTAAAGTTAACTCCTATTTTTATTAAAAGAACATGTTTAAGATGTGCAAGAATGACCTGAACAAGAAAACTATTAGAAATACACTCACTGGCTACTTCATTAGAAACACAGTTCAACTCCTTGCTGATGCAAATGTTAAATCAAACACATGGAAGCAGCTCGGTGTAGTTAGGAATATAGACATGGTCAAGATGACCTGCTCGAAATTACTAATTGAATTGGAAAAAGAAGACTGAGAATTATATCTGACGACTGTGAATTTCTGCTGCAACATTCAGATGGTATGGCCAGTTGAGCATTGTTTAGCCACCAAGCAGCCTAGCTGAATATGGTTGATAACTGTGTGCATACTTTTATGATCGTAGTCCACCTATCTTCTAATGGCTGCTTCCATTAGGTTAACGTGTCATGTTGCAAAGCTCAAATCATCTCAAACTGGTTTCTTGAGCACCAAAACGAGTTCACTCTACATAAATGTTGACTCCAGAGTCACCAGAGCTCAATCCAGTAGAGCCCCTTTAGGATGTGGTGGTACTAGCCAGGTGTTAATGGTATGAGGTGGCCAGTGAGTGGATCACAAATTGGCATTCAGGAAAAATGCAGTTAAATATTTGGATTACATTCTCAATGAAAACCCTAATTAACATTTTTAATTGACTGCTATTTTATTACTGATGTGAGAACAGATTGTAACATAACTTAGAAAATGATTCCTGTGTAAAACACTGAATGGTATTTGTCCTTGAAAATCCAAAGCATGACCTTTATGCTAGCTCCAGAGTGCCTTCCCTTACCACCTCTCGTTCACTCCCAAATACAAGAACTAATCAATGCTAACTTAAATAGAGTCCACTA